TAAATGAAGACTTTTAAATTGATAAATATCAACTCAAGTAAGCTTGAATTAATTCATAACTTATGTTATAAAAGGAAAAAAAAATTACTTAATCAAATTTTCTTCAAGTAGTCTATATCTATTTATAAAACACCAACCACTAAATAAAAGAGTTCTACCTTATTATTAAGAATTCCGTCTTAAGTTAATAATTGGTATTTTGTTGTCCAGTCCATTTCAATCCACAAAACAATATTTTGTACTACTAATTGTAATTTCATTCTTAACGTTTGAGTTCAATTATTATATATTAAGTTTTTATAGCCAGTTGAACAAGAAGAGTGGCTTTGGAAAAAAAAGAAAAATGTGAAAGAGCAATGAACGAAATTAGGAGAGCTTAATTTAAGAAATCATCTACTAATTATTACCTTTTTTTCATTCTAGTCTAAAATCTTTTTTCTTTTTCAAACTCATCTATTAACTTTCAAAATTATTTCATTTTCATCTACTCTATGCAACTCTGTTAATCACATTGATAGAACTGTTGGCTCAATGCACTCCAAGAGGGGGTGAATTGGAGTTGGAAAAATTTCTCCCCTTTTGCAACCACCAAACAAAAATTAAAGAGAGAATAGAGAAGAAGAACTTGCACAATAATTTTATACAAGTTCAGTCCAACCACTTGGAGCCTAGTCCTCTACCTTGGCTTCACTCACCAAGGATTTCCTCCACACTCTCCACTAAAAAAAACAATGGTGGCTTAAAAGAGCAACTTAATCCTTTTATAAAAAGAATGGTGTTTTTTTCACATCTCACCCATTTACACTTAAACCCCAAGAATCCTCTACAAATCACTTTTGAAGGAATAATCACACTCCCAAAATCACTCACAAATAGAACAAGAAGAGGATTACGAGTAAAGATCTCTCAAAGATCAAAAACTCAAGTTAAAGCATAAGTTGGTAGGTAAAGATATTCCATATAATGCTCTCCAAACTTGTTCCAGATCTATCACGGCAAAATACACAAATCCATCCCCAAAGTATAGTGGCAGGGACAGATCCACCCTCGAATAAAAAACGGGGACAAATCCACCCACAAAGTTTTCGACTTGGACAAATCACCCCAAATTTAACGTGTGACGTCATTTGACATCAGCAATTTGTTAATTCGTTAACAGATTGCTGACGTCAGATGACGTCAAATTAACAGATTGCTAATGTCAAATGACGTCGCACGTTAAATTTGGAGTGATTTGTTCAAGTCAAAAATTTTGTGGATGGATTTGTCCCTGTTTTTTGTTCGAGGGTGGATCCGTCCCTGCCACTATACTTTGGGGGTGGATTTGGGTATTCTGCCATCTATCACCAACTATATTTATAGCTCCTTTCTCGAAAATAGCCGTTTCTAGCCGTTGAGAGTCATTAAATGCTCTGTAGGTCGTATAGTTCGAGTTGCAAAATTGTCAGCATAGCCGATTTACATTTCTAGAGTCGGCTCTGAACAGCTAGCTTAACATTTTTGCAGCCGACTTTGCGGGATTCCTGCACATTTTGTTTTCTCCGTAGAGCCGATTGCAAAAAGTAAAGTCAGCTTTGCGAGTCTCCTGCACATTCTATTTTCTTGAACAGCTAGCTACAAACTGTAAAGCCGGCTTTGATATTTCGACTTTAAAAACATTAATTAATCTTCAAATAACTCGACCATTGTGCATTAAATGTGCCCTTAGAGTCAGCTACAAAGTTGGAGCTGGTTTTACGTCTTTTTTCCACACGTGACGAGCTTCAAAGTTTTGCTCGTAGAGTCGACTACAGCTTCTAAAGCCGACTTTCTGCACTTCCACAGCCAGCTGCAACCTCTTTAAGCTGACTGTCTACACTTCCATTTCACCAGAGCCGGCTGTAGGTTTCAAGAGCCGACTCTCTGTACATTTTCAAGCCTTTTGGTCCATTTTAGTGCAATCAAGTTTACTTACTTTGCAATCTTTTGACATTTTAACTACACACTTAAAGAAACCAATTAGTTACTCAAATGTGTTTTGTAATCATCAAAATCATAGGTACAACAAGAACTTCACGTTCTTAATTGCGTAGTGCCACGTAAGCTATTATGTGGCACCACTTAAGTTAATATGTGGCCTGAAAAATCGGAGAAAAAATTATCGCTTCATTATTTAAGGTTAAATGCTTAATTTAAAGAAGTGCCAGTGACATAGAGATAATTTTTTTGCTATAATTTTTTTAATAATTTTTTATATAATTTTAAATGTCATTAAATAAATAGATGTATATAATATTATACGTTTCAAATGAATAAAAAAATTAATTATTTAAATAATATATATGTGGCCTGAAAAATCGGAGAAAAAATTATCGCTTCATTATTTAAGGTTAAATGCTTAATTTAAAGAAGTGCCAGTGACATAGAGATAATTT